GGGAAAGGGTTCGTCTTGGATCCTTCGGTGCACCCTGTGCGAATGGGTTCAGGAACACTCTTGGACTGAGCAGGCAGATGGAGGATTGTCCTGAAGGCCAGACAGCAATTCATGAGAAGGTTGGGGCAATGGGCCCGAGGGGGCTGATGGAGTCTCCCAGCAGCGCCGGGAATGAGGAGGCTGGGAAGGCCGCAGGCGGTCGTGGGTGATGCAGGACAGGGCCCATTGCACTCACGGCTCTTCTTCTCTTAGCTTCTGAGGTTCTTGCTTTTCCAAACCCAGAAGACAGTGCACGAAGCCAGGGGACATCAGCCATGCTCCAAAGAACTTGGCCTCAGGTGAGCTGAGCTTCCTTTCCGTCTTCTTTAAATTACATTAGCTATCAGATAATCAGGAAAGGACCAAGAAAGCCTAACTTGGCCAGACTCTGGTTTCCTCTTTGAGTCTATCCCCGGGACTATGGCTGTAAATACATGGTGGAGGAAGTAAGCGTTTTGTGTACAGAGAGTGATGAATTCGGATGTGCAGGTTTAAGTGGAAAAGAGGAGACCCTAGCCAAGAAATTCTCCCTGAATGGGGAGATCCAGATCATGTTCTGCAAAGCGAAGTGATCTGCTGAGATCGGAGAAATTCTTCATCGAAGAGATTGCCCTAGAAATTGTAGTTGTATCCCAGAGAGACCATATTCTTTCCATAGGCACTTTATAAATAAATGCTAGGCGCATAGTATTGAATAATGCAGACAAGTTCTTTTTTCTCATGGAGGATAATTTTAGCAAAATAGTCTGTAAACAAGTTAAAACCATAGTTAAATGTTGCTAAAGTACAGTGCTTTTCAAGAGTGTGGCCCACAGGCAGCATTCTCATCACCTGGGAGCCTACTAGAATTGCAAATTATTGGGCCCCACCCTAGACTCAGAATCAAACTGGGGAGCGGGGATACCTGGGTCAGGAATCTAGTGTAACAAGATCTCCAGGTGATTCTTATGCACCTTTTCAAATTTGAGAAACCTCACAGAAGTTGCTTTTGAAGGTAATGGTTAGGGAAGCCCTCGCCGAGGTGGTAACATGAGTTTGAGACCTCGAGGATGACATAGAAACAGTCTTGGGAACTACTGAAGAGCAAGCTTTCCAGAGAGAAGGACAGCAAATGCAAAGGCCCTGAAGTTGGGGAGAAAGCTGAGTATACTGTAGAAACAGGGAGAGGTCAGAGAAAGTAGTTTAGTGTGAGGTGGGAGAAGTAGGTACATGTCTTGTAGGTCACTGTGAAGACTGGTTTCTCTTCTTGGTTCATTGAGAAGGCACTAAAGGATTTTAAGCAGGGTAGGTGACATGGTTGGGTTTATACATTAAAATGGTTTTCCAGTGCTTAGTGGTGAGTTGGTTGTGGAAGGGTGTTAGTCCATTTGTTGCATATTGCAGACAAGGTAAGAGATTAAGTATTGTCCTTTTTTTAAAGGAGATTTTATTTTTTAGAGAAGTTTTAGGTTCATCGCAAAATTGAGCAGATAAACAGAGTTCTTATATGCTTTCTGCCTCTGCACATGCCTCCCCCATTAGCAACATCCCCCATCAGAGTGGTACCTTAGTTAAAATTGATGAACCTACATTGATACATCATAATCACCCACGGTTCATAGTCTACAGTAGGATTCACTCTTGATGTTCTATATTCTATTGGTTCAAATGTATAATGACATATATTCATTATAATAGTATCATACAGAGTGTTTTCACAGCCCTGAAAATCCTCTGTGCTCTGCCTATTCATCCCGCCCTCCCTGGCAACCATTAATCTTTTTAGCTATCTACATGGTTTTGCCTTTTCCAGAATGTCATAGAGTTGGAATCATACAATGTAGCCTTTTCAGATTGTTTTCTTTCAATTAGTCATTTCATTCAAGGTTCCTCCATGACTTTTCATGGCTCGGTAGCCTATTTCGTTTTAGCACTAAATAACATGGCATTGTCTGAATGAACCACAGTTTATCCCTTCACCTACTAAGGACATCATGGTTGCTTCCAAGTTTTTGGCAATTATGAATAAAGCTGCTGTAAACATCTGTGTGCAGGTTTTTGTATGGACATAAGTTTTCAAGTCATTCGGGAAGATCCCAAGGAGCATGATTACTGGATCATATGGTAAGAGTATATTTAGTTTTGTAAGAAACCACCAAACTGTCTCCCAAAGTGGCTGTGCTGTTTTGCATTCCCGTCAGCAATGACTGAGAGTTCCTGTTGTTCCCCATCCTCACCAGCATTTGGTGTTGTCCGTGTTGTGCATTTTGGTGTGTAGTGCTATCTCATTGTTATAATTTGAATTTTCCTGATGGCATGATGTAAAGCATCTTTTTATTTACCTATTTGTATATCTTCTTTGATGAGATACCTGTTCAGGTATTTTGCCCATTTTTTAATTGGGTCGTTTGCTCTATTATTGAGTTTTAAGAGTTCTTTGTATACTTTGGATAACAGTCCTTTATCAGACCTGTCTTTTCAAATATTTTCTCTTTGTCCATGCCTTGTCTTCTCATTTTCTCAAAGTATTGTCCTTTTAAGGTAGGGTTTTTTTCCCCTCATTTTTTCTTTCAAAAAATTTTTTTTCTTCAAAACATTCTTGGCTAGTCTGTCACGCTTTTTAGTGACTTTAAATGATCTGCTACTCCTGTACAAATCTCACTGGTTTTTCTTTTCTTTTTTTCTTTTGGAAGCGGGGGATGGATTTTATTGAATTCATAGACAAAATTGGAGGTAATTGACTTTTTACAAATTTGATTCTTTCCGTTCAGAAACACCGTGTGTTCCAGTTTATTCGGTTCTTTTATTTATTGTAATAAACACGTAGTTTTCTTCATCTTGGTCTTCCACATTTTTGTCAGGTCTGTTCTTAGCTATTTTTATATGAATGGTATCTTATATTCTCCCATCTTCTAATTGTCTATGGTGGTATCTAGGAAAGCTAATGATTTCTGTTTACTTATCCTATATCTAGCTAACTTAATGAATTATTTTGGCAGCTTTAAATGTTTTTCGTTTATTCTCTTGGTACTTGGATATTTTTAGCCAGATACAGTCCACCCTCTCTATTTGTGGGTTCTGCCTCCACATATTCAGCCAACCGTGGATCAAAAATATATATATTTTTGAATTACATTGTTACTGATGTGTATTATATAGTTAGGCCAACAGTGATGGTGGCCGTGCTGAACATATACAGACTTTTTTTCTTGTCATTATTCCCTAAATAATGTAACAGCTATTTATATAGCATTTACGTAGTATTAGGTATTATAAGTAATATAGAGATGATTTAAAGTATATCAGAGGATGTGTGTAGGTTATATGCAAATACTATGCCATTTTATATAAAGGACTTGAGCATCCATGGATTTGGTGTCTGTGGGGCGTCCTAGAACCAATACTGAAGGGTGACTAGTTATTTTATCTGCAAAGCAAAAGTATTTATGTTTATTTCTTTCCTATATTTATGCTCCTTTTCCACTCTTTTGCAGGAAGTAGAACCTCAGCTCATGGTAAATTATCAGCCATCAATTTTAATGGCTGTGCTCTGACGTTTTACTGTTAAGGTGGTGTTTGCTGTTGTTTCCTGATCCTCTTCATAAATTTAAAAACATTCTATTTGTAGTCAAACCATTTTTGAAATTAATTATTTCAGCAAATTTATATTAAGCATTGAGTATCTGGCAGACACTGTACTCTGTACCAGTAAACCAGTTATGAACAAAACAGAATCCTTGCCTCACAGACTTACATTCTGGTGGGGGGAGAGAGACAATAACGAGTATTATTAGTTCCCTTCACTCTTGGGAAAGATGGAGGTGGCCCCAGGGGGAGGCAGAGAGTGGTGCACATTAGCAAGTGGGACAGATCTGTGCCCAGAGACAGGACATTGCCAACCTTCTTTGAAGACAGGTGGTTCAGAGAAGAGGCTGGAACAGCCAGGCTTCAAGTTTCCTTCGGCAGAGATAGCTTTCTCATAAAGTAAGAAGGTATAAAAAGAAATTTGCAAAATGCCATGACAATTTTTGAGGGCTGGCTCCTGTGCAGACAGTGGAAGGTGCTGGGGGAAGACTAAGGAGAAGCTAGGTGCAGGGAACAGATGGCGCTGTGCGTGTGTACTTTTGAGATGAGTGGAGATAGGGTGAGTGGCAGCTGCTTTCAGTGATTGGCATATAGAAAATAAGGTGACCAGATTACGGAGTACGTGAAGGTAGGAGGTGCCAGAGCGACAGATCCGAGGAGCTAGGAACATAGGGGTCCATGCAGTTACCAGGCAGAGAGCCCCAGATGCCAGGCTGTGAGATTGGGATGACAATTGGGGCCCCAGAGCTGAGCAGATGGGAGAGTGTTGGGGTTTCGCATTTGGAAGTGGGAACACTGGCTCAGGGCTGGCCCCTGGCTGGGGTGCTGCTTGCTCAGACTTTCCACAGGGCCTCAGAGTTGGGGAGCCTGGAAGGTCTATCTCTTCCCTGCAGCTCAGGCTGCCCCCTTCTGCCCCTCACTCAAGAGCTTGAGCAGGAACCTGTTGTTTCAGGAGCCAGTGACTTTTGAGGACGTGGCCGTGTACTTCACCCAGAATCAATGGGCCAGCCTGGACCCTGTACAGAGGGCCCTGTACAGGGAGGTGATGCTGGAGAATTATGCAAATGTGGCTTCCCTGGGTAAGGTCTCTCTCAGTGGCCCTTTGTGGAAGTTGGACAGCTTCTGCACATGTTTTGGGGATTCTTGTAGCTCTTAGGTCTGATGACTCCTGGGGGTGTTCTGCAGTCGCCAGCCGCTGGAGATGCCCAGTGGGGAAATCCCTGGTACCCTTTGGTTTTGAAACTGGACTTCCTTACATCCCAGGAGAGGACGGGGCTCAGGGCCCTGAGGGGAGGGACTTCTTGATGCCCTAGGTGAGCCCTTTGTCCCTCCAACCCTTTGTTCTAGGGTTGTGGCCCTCCCCTTTGTGGATGAGTCTCCCAGGATGGCAGTACATACATCCGTCCTGAGAGGGTTTCCTTTCTTCTAAGTAGGGGCAAGGCCACACTTCCTTCCTGAGAATGGCAGCTTCCTGCTCCTTCCCTTGGAGCAGTTCGGAGCCCTCCCTCAGAACCCCTGGCTGCTCCTGGGTCTCCATTTCTCTCCTCTCTGCAGCTAGTTCGTTATGGGGTGGCCCAAGAAATCTCAGGAATGTCTCTGGATGTCTCCCTCAACTTGTCTGTCTTGTCTTCTTGTTGGAGTAGCATTTCCATTCCCCAAACCTGTTCTGATCTCCCAGCTGGAGCAAGGAGAAGCACCTTGGGGCCCAGATCCTGGGGAAGCAGAGGTTTTGAAAGGCATCTGGCCAGGTGAGTAAGAGACCATAGTGGTTTCTGGTTTTGCCTTCCCGGTTTACCAGAAGTGTTTCTTCTACAGCAGAGAACGGAGCTCGCCATCGTCCATAAAGCAGTAACTGGTGCACTCTGAGCTAAGCTGAGTCCCAGCCCCGAGCCCAGAAAGGCTAGGTGCTGTCTGCACACACACATGGCCATCCCGCCTCAGAGCACTTATCAGTGGAAATATTGAATTTTATGCCGATTGTCATGGCAGAGGAGGAGGGTTTCAGTCATATTTTAAGGAAAATTTGATTGTATGGGTCAAACTGATTTATATGTACCACAGCTATGAATTTTAATTTTAGGCCTTCAGCAATGAAAAAAAAAACACCTTTTAATTTGCCTTTTTTTTTTGTATTTTAAAGTTCCATATGCCATAATCTTTATGTTTACATTGTATTTGTCCAGGAGAAGGCAAAGAATATTCCTCCCTCCCAACCCCCATCCACTGCACCCAACACATACAGACACCCTCAGATTTCCCTGAGACTGCTTACAAGTCTTTGCAGCTTTCGTTACTTGGGTTTTCTCTCCTTTTGAAAGAAAGTTCCAGGCCTCACTTCTCACACATACTGTGATTTCGTAAACAGTGGTTCCTTTAGCAGTCACACCACCATGGTCTGGAGCTCTCCAATTCCACTTCCGTTCCTGAAGAAATAATCTTTTATTCCAGAATATTATGTGGCGTGTTTAAAAATGGAATTATTAGGCCATTATTTCGGATTTAGAATTCGGGGCGGTGTCCCAGTTTACAGGCGGGGCATCGGGGTCCGTTGTTTGCTGTCGTTCGTGTCTCCGGCCCGCTCCGCCTCTGATGTCTGCGCGGTCTCACCGGTGCCATTTTCCTCTTCCGGGTCTCTCTCTCTCTCTCAGAATTTTTTCCATTTCTGCCGATCCCGTTTATCTCTCCCATTCTTCCTCCTCCTCCCCCTCTCCGCGCCCCCGCTCCCCGCCTTCTTTTGTTCCCATTCTTAAAGTTCTCATTCTGCCCATTTCATCACCTCAGTTTTTTTTGCAGCCTTCCTTATAGGAGGCACTTCTGGTCTGTTTTCCATGTAATTTTACTTCTCTAGTTATATGTTACTATTTTTCTTATACTCTCTCATTCTTCTCTATGGGTGCTTATAGCCATTTTATGGGTATATTTTTTTAAAAAATCACATTCTACAAGAGCAAATTAGGACCCCTGGATCCTGTTTTCCATCCAGCTCAGTAACTCAGAACACTTTTGATTTCTTTGGTGAGGTGGTGAGTCCCGGATCAAGCACGAAGAGCCGACCGTAAAGCAGGAAGCCTCTGAAGAAACAGAGTCGCCCAGAGTGCCCGAAAGCGGACTCCTGAGAAACGTTTCTCAGCACTTTGACTTTAAAAGCAAGGCAACGTGGCAGACTTTCAGTCTGAATCCGAATCTGATACTTCGAGGGGGAATGAAGTTCTATGAATGCAAAGAATGTGGGAAAATCTTCAGATATAACTCGAAGCTTATTCGGCATCAGATGAGTCACACAGGGGAAAAGCCCTTCAAATGTAAGGAATGTGGCAAAGCTTTCAAGTCCAGCTATGACTGTATCGTACACGAGAAGAATCACATCGGAGAAGGGCCCTATGAATGCAAGGAGTGCGGCAAAGGTTTGAGCTCCAACACCGCCCTGACTCAGCACCAGAGGATCCACACCGGAGAGAAACCCTACGAATGCAAGGAGTGCGGGAAGGCGTTCCGCAGGAGCGCAGCCTATCTTCAGCACCAGCGGCTACACACCGGGGAGAAGCTCTATAAATGTAAGGAGTGCTGGAAAGCCTTTGGTTGTAGGTCCCTTTTTATTGTCCATCAGAGAATCCACACTGGGGAGAAACCCTACCAGTGTGAGGAGTGCGGCAAGGCGTTCACGCAGAAGATAGCCTCCATTCAGCATCAGAGAGTGCACACCGGAGAGAAGCCTTACGCATGCAAGGTGTGTGGGAAAGCCTTCAAATGGTATGGCAGTTTCGTTCAGCATCAGAAATTGCACCCTGTGGAGAAGAAGCCCGTCGAGGTCCTCGGGCCATCCCTCATGAGTCCCCAGTGCCCCTCTTCAGCCTCGTCCCCGGGTCCTCTCCAGAGTCCGTGCTCCGCTCCAGCTGTGGCCATGCCTTCACTGACCTTTCCACACGCTGTGCTCATTCCTACCTCTGGGCCTTTGTTCATGCTGCTGCCTGCGTCTGTACCGTCATCACCTGTCCAGATAGTGAGAGTCCTCCAGAGTCTCACTCCCACTGAGAAGGCTTCCCCGATTATTCTGGCTCCTTCTCACCCCTCATGAGTTTTATCTTGCCACTCCCATGGCTCTTAACGCCCAGAAAATCTCCAACCTAATTCGAGTTTCTTTTGTATTTTGTTCTCACCTTACGTACGTTAACAACTGTTTCAGCATAAACTCCATTTGTAATCTATCTATATTTAAAGACTGTGTTTATATAATCGCCTTTCTTATGGGTAGAAAGCAGAAATAATCGATGTCTGCATTGACCCCTTTCAGGCTTGAACGATAATGGCTGTATCTGCATTGTTGGGGTGCTGGTGTTAGAAGTGCTGGTAGGACCTTTAGGTGTATTAGAGAAGTTTGGGAGAGAGGACACCCCTGTATTAGGCCATTGTGATTAGAGAGAAGCAGCCTGAGACAAACAGTAGAGAATTAGAATAAACGTCCAATGACAGACTTTAGAAATTAATGCAGGTCGTTTAGTCGACTAAGGTGGTGTATTAATGCAGTTGAAGTAACATTGCCCTTGGTACAGATCGTTGAGGATCTCATTCATCTACGCAGAAGATCAAGCGAAATAACCAGTGAAAAATAACATGTCTGCAGTGCTAGCGATCGTTTACATGATTGATGTCGATCGTGTCTTTCGTCATGCAGTTCTTTCTTTAGTTTTGATCTTGATGTTTAGATGTTTTGTTTTCTTTTAAAACTTTGGTTTCCTAAGTAAATATACACCACAGCGTTCATCTTATTTCTCTCCATCGTGTAAATGTTTCTTGGTGGGCATTCTGGTTTTCCGTTCACAAGTACTTGGCTTCTACGTTTTATTTTCTCTAGATATCATGCATTGTATATATGAATTTGGCAAATTACTAAAGAAATAGAAGCAATGGTATAAAGCCAGCTTGGGGGAAATCTGAATAAGTCTCTAAAATTGTTTTCAGGGAATAGAGGGGGCTGCGAAATGGGTTAATGAGTAAGCGTATGTGATAGGTCAGTGAAGTGGAACTTTGGGTCGCTCTTGCTTTTGACCTTGATGAGAATCTTTTATAACTATGCAAAGGATCGTGAAGTAATTCCTGGAAAAAGAACTCAAGTTCATCATTAGCCTTCATGTAAAGGAACTCTTTAAACATTGACGAGAAGGGCATGTGTTTTTTTTCTTTGGTTCTGCCAGCAGGATGTTACTCCATAGCAGTTAACAGAAAAGCCTTTAAATTAGTGGTTCTAAAACTTTACCATGTGAAAAACCTGTCGTGTTGAATAACCTGGTGTAAAAAGAGCAATTTTCTGGCCTAACTCTCAAAATTTCTGATTTTGGATATCCGTGATGATGCTCAGACCTTCAGCGTGGACCATGATTTGAGAGACAGGCTTTGAGCAGAAAATGCCCACGGGCTGTTGGGAGGCACACGTTGATAAAGCGTCCGGGTGGAACTCCCTTATTTCACAGTGGATCTTCAGGAGAGAGACCTCTGGCGGTAGTTTGGGTGGTGTCTGTAGAGAAGAAGAGAGAAAAGCAAGTGAAAATTGTCCTGTAGGGGAAAAAAAGAAAAGGACGAAGAGACCCAGTGTGGCCTGTGACGAGCTCTGAGGTTTCCACTGCCAGAAGGTTTGTGGTTTGACGTTGGCTACCTTTTGCCATTTATTTGCTTCTTGGCTGAAGTAAGGAGGAAAAATTTTTTTTCTTATATAAAGTTAATACACTTCACAATAGCTCTTGGGTTAAAGAGGACGACAAGGATGTTACAGGTGATTTAGACGAGTAATGAGTAAGAACAGGACATAGCGGCATCTATGGGATGTGGCAAAGGTGCTACTCAGAGCAATACCCACGGTCTTAGATGCATTCTTTAGAAAACAGGTTTGAAGGCTTGTGATTCAGAAAGCTGGGGGTGTTTTTTGGTGGTGGGAAACGAAAAAAAGGAACCAAAAAAATAAAAACAAGCAAATAGATGTTCTCCCCTCCCCCCCCCCCCAAATCCAAAATACACTTAGGGAAATAAGATAAGCAACAGAGTTTTGGGTAAGGATGGTGGTTGGCTATGTCAGCGTTCACACCCTCCTGAAACCCCGGAACTCACAAGGACACTGACAATAAGAACACTGATAACATTTGGAAACACAAGCAGGTGAGAGTTCTAACTCTTCCCAGACCTGAGAAATGAGAATCCTAAGTCACATTGGGGGAAGCTGAGCAGAACTCCCCAAAAGGCTTAGGAACTGAGGATTCAGTATCTCTGGAAGCACGAGATGCTGGTGGGACCAAGAACAGGTGAATCGGCTGAAAGTCTTTAAGAAGCACCCAGATCTTCAGGTCGCCTCTTATCCCGCTGGTCCCTGGAGCAGAGAAACAGGAATTTTGGAGGTCGTGGTACCGCACTGAATGTTAGATCATTCTCCCTCACCCTCTAGCCTTCGTGGGTAGGGGAGATCAATATCCTGATTCCAGTTTTTGCTAATGAATTTATAAGTTCAAAGCAATTCCAATCAAAAGTCTAAAGAGGTTTATGTATGTGTGACCTGACAAGCTGATTCTAAAATTTGTATAAGAATAAAGAACAAAGAATAGCTACGACGATTTCGAAGAACAAGGTGGGAGATTTTGTGCTACCAGATACCAAATATAGTGATCATAAAAACAGAACAAAACAAAGACCAAAAAAACCCAAGTTATAAAAAAAAATAGATGTACTGGAATATGATTTGCATAAATTTAAAAATCTAAATATACTGTTTAGGAACATATGTATTTTATACAAAATATACACATATAAAATGCAAAACTATAGAGAAATAGAGATCAAGTGTCAGTATCATATGCTGAGAAAATATGAAAGATTTCTGTCTCCTTTCTCTTTTATTTTCCTTGTGTTACTTTTGTTCTGTCCCAAATGCCAGGAACCCAGTCCCAAATGCTGGCCGTCAATTGTCCAACACCCTTTACCTTTGCCACCTATTTCTTGTCTGAAAACAAGCAATAGTAATCAGATATTTTGTTTCTAAAATATCTTGAATTGATTCTTAAAGTACATTACAAAATGTGGTCTCAACATCCTTATAAGTACTAATGTCTTATTTCCTGGCTGTCAGAAAGAAGTGATATAACTTATTTCAGTCTAAACATCGTATCATTTTAAAAGCCAGATGACTGAATATATTGTTTAAAGAAAACATTGTGAAAGTTTTATTACATGAAGCCCAATTTAAGTCTGGCACATACTTTTCTCTTAAATGAACCGGTAATGTTATAATTTCATTTCTGTAGATCTGCTTACTGGTTACAATTGATTTGTGGTGTGAACAGGAAATTTTCATTAGCCAAAATGTTTCAACTTACTCCAGTTAGCTACCTCCACAAGAATATCTTTAATCTTAATAATGATAAAAATACTTTCCTGATACTATTTAATAGTTAAGCACAATACATTGCAAGTTAGATTTTTCTCTCTAAGGTTTGTATAAAAAGAAGTTCCAGGGATGGTAAATGACCTTGCTCAAGGTCACAGTGGTCTTTTGATGCCCGCTTTTAGCTCTAATGTTAACTTTCTAAGAAAAACAGCCTCTAATATAGCAGGAGTTTTCAGTGCATCATGTAATTATTTACATGGGATAATTTTTTTTTTTCTTGCTGTTGTTTTGCAGGCAATCTTAGCAGTTTGGCTGTAATTTGTTCTTCAGTGACTACTAACAGATTGGTTAATTATGGAAGGAGTCATGTCCATTAGATTATAAATGTCTAATGA